CATTTTAAATGAATCTATATACATATATATTGATGCAAAATAAATATTTCATAAATCTTTTTATAAAACGTAATATTTATAAAATCTTTTCCTTTCACTAAAATTCAATAACACAATTAAAGACCATATACATGTGATCTTAAAAGGAGGGCTAAGATATTTACTTTGATTAAATCACCAAAATAAATCTAAAATATTTTTAATATATAATAATAAATAATGAAATATGTTTATCATCTCTATTCAGACAATTAAGAAATAAATCTAATAAACTCAGCACTATACTTTAAGATAAAATATTTTTTGTAAAAAATATTTAACTTCAAAATTAAGGAAAAAAAAAAGCTAAAAACACTAATGTGTGCTTAAAGCCTGCTTGTCTTTTTCTATAAAAAGCCTTAACACTAAAATTTCTTAGATTTGCCTAAGGCTTTTTTTTTTTTTGAAAGTCAATATTCATATATTACTCAAGTGATTCTGTCTCAACAATATCCACGATGCTTGTGGGGCATTCCTCTATCCACATCTCATTCGAATGTTGTTGCAGACTTATTTTGGCTAATCTGTGGGCAGCTTCGTTTGCTTCTTTTCTGACATGACCTACATTTAAAGAACAAAAGGGCTTACCTTTTTCATTAATATTAGCAAAGATGTGTCCCATGGCTGACAGGTCATCCTTCTCTGATCGAACACTATTAATGATGTTTAAGGCATCTCAAATTGCCATGTCCACCGCTTTTGTCGCTGCGCATGCTTCCACCAAGCTTGCCTAGTGCACGTTATACACCTTAGTAATTGCTGCCCCTAGCACCTAACTTGTGTGGTCCCGTGCTTTGACTCCCAATCCCACTGAACCGTTTGTCCCTATGAATGCACCATCAAAGTTTATTTTAACAAAACCGACATGTAGTGGTCTCCACACTGTCCGAGTCGTTGCCATTTGCCCTATCCCTCGCACTTGTGCTAAGCTTTGAACCACCATCCATGGTCTGAAACCCTCCTCAACATGACCTTCCTTTCGTGCTACATTTAAGGTTGCTTGCAACAGTTGTTGGTCACCATTGGTTGGACTAGCATTGTTAGATGTTCTCTCTTCTAGACAAAGCTTCTTATGGTGGCCCTACCTACCACATTTGAAGCATAGGGTCCCAATACTCTCATGAACAATAGTTTGTCGTCTACCCTTAACCCTAATATAACTTGGAAATGGCTTATTCAAGTTTAACTAAACACATATTCTTGCATATCTCCTTCTCTCCCTTGCCATTATACTCCCATCGATGTGGAGTAGAGTATCTATGCATCTACCAATCTTTTTAACTATTTTAAAGTTGAAATACTCGACTTGTAGTTCAAATAACCTTAGCCAAATCACCACAAAAGAAAAAGTCACTTTTGACTCCTTAAAATTTGGTTCCTACCTTTTAATTGTTAAAAAGTGTCCACCAATGAACCATGTGTCACCTTTAAGAACGTAATTGTAATTCTCTGCCAATTGAGACTTTAAGAGTTTATGTTTGATACACTGTCAGTATATAGATTCTATACACTATCAATAAATCAGATGATATCATCTTATTAATAAATGAATACCAACCCTTAAAATAAATATATAAAAATTTATTTTAAAAAAAATTTACTTATTAATGAAGTGATATCATCTAATTTACTTTATTAATAAAATGAATCATTCGAATCATTGATAGTATATAAAATCTATATACTAATAGTGTATCAAATATTAATCTAAACTTTAAAATGAAAGTCATAGCCTAAGTCAACTATACACAATCTTTCTTGGAGTTTCCATAATTGTTCAATCTTAGTTACTAAGTATTTATAGCCCCTAGTTCTACCAAATACTTTAACAATCAGAGACTAAGCCCATCTCTCCTTAACTCATTTGCGTTCTTCAATACTAAGTGAAACTTGAAGTTCTCTTTTGTTATTTACGCCTTCATCTTGGCTTTTCTTATCCTTTAAACCCACTTTTATATCTTTATTTGAAAACTCTTCTGTCACAATGTAGGTGCCATAACTAGGGGTATAAATGATATATTAATATTTGTAAAATCTAGGGTTTGATTCAAATAAAACTTAAATTCAGCTTGGTTATTATCAAGTCGAACTCGAGTTCGAATAGCTCGATTTATGGATTAAACTGAATTCGAGTATTTTTATACCTAGTTCGAGTAACTCATGAACTTAATTGAACTTTTATATTTTAATATATTTTAATTATTTTAATTGATAGAATATCTCAAACTCGAGTTCAAACTCAAACACAAATAATCAAGTTTTTATCATATATAAGAATCGAGTTTATTTTACATGTTAATCGAGCATAATAGAACGAGTTTGAGTAGCTCAATTTTTATCTCAAGTCAAGCTTAAGTTAAAAAAATAAAACTCGATCGAGTTCGAGTTGAGTTTTGAATCTCGAATTTGGAATTGAACTCAAACTCGAGCTTAAGCTTAATACTGTTGTAGTAACAGTTTTGTGTCCACCCAACGAATTTGGAAACGAAATAAAAAATAACGAAGTCACCACAAATCTTTTTTGGCTAGGTACGATTAACCACCTATTAAAACATATCATTTAATAAAATTTTAAAATTAATTAAAATTTATTAAAAGGATAATTTTAGGGTCTACGTAATAGTCTGAGTTCGAGAGTCGGTTACCTGTGGAGAATGATTAACACCTTCACAACGCCCATTTAAAATGGTACTAATTAATTACATGTTATCAGTTGATTTTTTATAAAAGCAGTCTTATTTTTAGTGTTTGAAAAATAATTTTTTAAATAATTTCCTTGATTTTTCATTTATTAGTAATTATTTTTTTAATTTTATTTTATTTTTTAGTGCTCAAATTTTATTCGAGAAAAATAAATTAGAACTTTTTTATTGAAATAATTCTTAAAATGTTTCAGTATGTTGGTAACATTAAAAAAATTCTTTCTCACCTAGAGATTTCTTAGGCATCGTTTCTCAGAATACCTTCGAATCTCATCTTTAAAGACTTAAATTTACTTTTCGTAAAAAAGTTATGTGATGCATGCAATGCAGAATATTACCATGTTGATGCACACATTTTATTTTCTTTTTTAAAAATTTTATTAATTATTTTATTAATTATTATTTTTAATTTAAATTTTTGAAGAAAAAATTTTTATTATATTGAAGTTTTTCTATAAATATTCCAATACTCTGGTAATATTTAAAAAAAAAACTTCTCACTTAAAGATTTCGTAAAACATTATTATTCGAAATACTTTTAGAATCCCATCAATGGATAAAATTTATTTTTCTTTATTTATATTACTATTTTTTAATAAATAAATAAATTTTATTTTTATTAACAAAAATAAAAATTTTATTATATTGAAAATTTTTTATAAATACTCCAATACACTGGTAGTATTTAAAAAAAATTTCTCACCCAGAGATTTCATAAGCATCATTACTTAGAATACCTTTAAATCTCATCGTCGGATAAAAATTTTCTTTTCTTACATTTTTATTATTTTTATTATAAAATTAATATAATTATCAAAAACTTTTATTATATATTTTTATTAATTATTATTATAAAACAACAAATTTTTATTTTGGTAAATTTAAACACTTTAACATGCATAAATATTAAGATAATAATTAAAATAACAAAAAAAAAATCTATAAAAAAAAACTTTTTACCTTAACCAGACCGGTCAATAGTTCGATCAAAGTGCAGTTCGATCTGGAGTAAGTGGTTCGGTTTGGTTAGGGCTGTTCGGTCTGGGTCGATTCAACTGAACCGATCAGAGGCTGAGAAACAAGCAGTTGTGGGTCAGGTGCCCAGACCTCGGGTCTGGTCACAGGTTGACACGTCGATCCTCAAGTGCTAAAACGATGTCATTTTGATCTTTATTAAAATAACATCATTTTGATTTTGACAGTCTATATAAAAAGGTCTCAAATTTTTTTTGGTCATTCACTCCTCTCTCAGAAAAAAAACCTTCATCTCTCCTCTTTTTTTTTTCAGATCGATCCGAGGTCGGTGGCCATTGCCTTGACAGCCACCACATTTCTCACCGTCATCATCGATGTTGAAAAATTTAAAAATCTCTCAAAACACTCCTTACGACCTTTTAATTCCAAATTTAAGCTTAATTCTACGAAAAAAAAGGCCCCAAATGGTGTAGATCTGGCCTGAAAGATTCAACCAAAATTTTTTTTTATTTTTTTAATTTACCTTTTTTTTTGTGTTTTTTGCTAGGTGGGTTGGTACTTTTATTCAAAGGGATTGTTTGTTTAGTTTTGATTCTTTTTTTTTCAAAATCATCGGTTTTTAATCAATCATTCTTTTTTCTTGCAGGTAACAAGTTTTATTTATAGAGTTTTATGAGATTCAAATTTTAAATTTTTTTTGTATTCAAATCTCATATTTTCAACTCAAAATTTACGCTATCAAATTAAATAATGTATCAAATAACTACTGATGGTGATAATAACTATGATTTTAAACTTTTAAAAAAAATGCATTTAATGCACTTAAATTTTTATCGAGCTAAACCAAAAAATATATATAAAATAATATTTATAACTGAATCGATTTAAACTTAATCAATTATATCATTAACCATATCCACCAACAAGAGAGTCCTTATAAAAGAGTTTTATCCTATTATTACTCCCATTATTTTGGAGACATATGGGGTTCGCACACCCATGTTGTTCTCTGACTTTATTTAAACTACGGCGGAGTTTCGCCGTTTCTTTCACGATGAGCATTGTGCTCTTACTTATTACACTCATACTGTTCTTTTTTTTTTACAATTTTCTACTGTATAGACTTGTTACTTTACTTCCCTCCCCATTTTTGACCTTTCCACGCATTATTTTAATTTCACCGTCTTTTCATAACATCCAAGTTTGAAATTTTGAAGTAGGGAACTATTTAATAGTTAAAAGAAAAAAATAAAACCCCGTAGGTGTTACATGAGTAATATGGAAAATTTTGGGGAAATATATGTAATTTGACCAAAATCGAAAAACATTTTCATTAGCCGCCACCAGCCCGAAGCCAAGCTCGCATCCTCCCTTCCCTCACTCTTTTTTCTTTCCGTTCACTGCGCCAACATTCGTCGCATCAAACACCTTCTCTCTTGGTTTAGAGTTCAGGTAAGAGATAGTCCTTTATTATTTAACTTAAGTTTCTATTAGTAGAAATTGATTATTATTATGGAGGTATCTCATACTGTTTTTCTCATAAATATATTAGTTGTTTTTTTAAGTTGAGGACTAAGTTTAGTTCATTTATGTTTCTGGTTATTGCAAGATATGTTAACTTTCCCATTGGGTTGCTTTGTTTTTGAGTTGGAACTGTCAGAATGGGGTTTTTCCTATGGGACCTCTATTTAAGACCAAGCATTTGAGCTTCTTGAACGAAAAACTAAAGACCCATTTTTCCTCTTAAAGAATACCTTAAAAACTCTTATTGAGGACTTTCTCGCTGTTATCACTGATGGGCATAAGTTGTTTTTGAGTTTTCTCGTTGGAATTGTTAATGATTTGATTACTTAATTTGTGGTCATTAAGGAGATGATTGATGTTTTTGCAGTAGGTAATGATGGTTTTTTCGTGTTTTTATTGAGGCAAATTGGTAGAAGCACTCGTTGTGCTTTGAGTTAACAAGTATTTAACAAATAGGGAGTGTTTATTACAAGAGTGCCTCTGATTTTGATTATTTTGTTGTATGAAGATTTTGTTTAGCTAAGTTCTAAGTAGGCTATTGATTCAACTTTAAGGTTATAAAGCAATTGGGATAGAATTTCGTGTCAAAATGTTGTTGGAGCAATTTTGTTTCTGTTTTGATGCTCAGAATAATTGGTTTGGCAATTTATAACTGCAAGTTGTTATACCTTTTCAAATTTTATGGTGAAGTATGTCTTAGTATGAAATTTGTAAGTATGGAAATGAAATTGATAGATCAGTGCATCACTTGTAATAAATCATCTATGGATTAAATCTAAACCATTTTAATGCACTAAAATACCATTGTTAATAGTTTGATTCTTATCCTTTTTCTTTTTTCCCCTTTTGATCATTAATCAAGGTTAGCATACAGAGATGCTATATATTATAGGTCTTGGCTTGGGGGATGAGAGAGACATTACTCTAAGAGGTTTAGATGCTGTGAAAAAATGTGAGAAGGTGTACATTGAGGCCTATACATCTCTTCTATCCTTTGGTCTATCTACAGATGGCCTTTCCACTTTGGTACTGCAAATATTCTTTCTATTCCTGATAACTTTGCTATCTTTTAGTTTTTTGAATTTTCATTTGTGCTAGAATTTTAAAAATGTCAGGAGAAATTGTATGGGAAACCAATTATACTTGCAGATAGAGAAATGGTTGAAGAAAAGGTAGACAATATTCTGTCAGAAGCTCATGGGTCTGATGTGGCTTTCCTTGTTGTTGGTGATCCTTTTGGGTATTGTCAGACTTTCTTTCTTTTTTCTTCATGATAAAATATTCTTATATGCTCTCATTGATTTTGGTTTTCTTTTTCGTGAATTTCTTTTATATTCTATTTACATATAAACGGGATTGCTTTTATTTATTCGTAAAATGCTTAGTTTCATCAAATACATATGCTTTCAAAACTGTTTAAATCATTGAGTTGTTATCTTAGGTCGTCTTTCTGGGAAGTGTGCAATATCTGTTTACAATTTCTCTTGCAGGCTGCCCAGTATGTAAATAGAAGTAGGAATGCCTGACTACCTTCATTGGAATTTTCATTCTACATGGGACCATTTTATATGCCAGTTCCTATTGTTTTTTAGTTTGATGAGCTATTCAAATCTGTTGGCCAGCCTTTCTCGACAGAACATGGTGAATATGATTCTTCTATTTCCTGTTGTCCTTTCTACCTCTCAAATCATCCTATGTGGGTTGAAGTCTTAATATTTGAAACACCACTGCTGAGTAACTCAGTTAAGGCTTGGAATCTGGACGAAGCTATATTTAATCAAAGAATAACGATTGAACCTGGTCAGAACCTAGTGTGTGGGAATTAATTATGGTCCTTTTCTTTCTTCAGAGATGCTGTGTGTATTGAGCTCCAATTATGCTGATGGTCTTTATTCACCTGAAAATTTTTTCTGAGTTGCTTCTCTTTCTCATTAGTCTTTTGGTTGGGAAAATTGCAGAGCCACAACACACACTGATCTTGTTGTTCGAGCAAAGACATTGGGGGTTGATGTCAAGGTAGTGCATAATGCATCCGTTATGAATGCAATTGGAATTTGTGGATTGCAACTCTACCGTTATGGGGAGACAGTTTCAATACCTTTTTTTACCAAAACATGGAGACCTGATAGTTTTTATGAGAAAATTCAAAGAAATCGTAATCTTGGATTGCACACACTCTGCCTATTAGGTAAGGTTGTTTTGTACGTAAATAAGCTTTTAAAGTCTTTAATTGCATCTTCTCATTTTTTGTAATTACGTGTTACTTGAACATGCACTAGTTATAGGAGCTGAGTGTGCTTTTGTTTAATTAAATCTGCAAAGATCTTCATAACCTTAGACAATCAGGCAGTCAGGACTCAGGAGATGGTTACTGTTAAAATATTAGCTAACTGCAGCTAGCTGATGATAAGCTCAAACATTTTCCAGAGCATAGCATGCGGATGCACATTTTATTTTCAATTTGTTATGGGTCCTAGTATTTCTCCAGTTAGCCACTAGAGACTCAAATAACAGGCCTTTTAAAATCATTACATTTTATGGTGTGAATTTAAAGGTTAATCTTGTATGTTCTACTTGATTCGGGAATCTTAAATTGATTCAGTCCCTTTCTCATACAGATATTCGTGTAAAGGAACCAACATTGGAATCTTTGTGCAGGTTTGTATTAGAAGTTGTAGTTTGTACTGTTTTTTGCTGCATACAGTTCAACTATTTTGTTTGTACTTTTTTTGCTGCATACAGTTCAACTATTCTGCCATTGCTTGGACTGATTATTTTTCATTCTTTTCCCTCAAATATTTTCAGGGGAAGAAAACAGTATGAACCACCTAGGTACATGACAATAAACACTGCCATTGAGCAGCTCTTGGAGATTGAACAAAAGCATGGTGAATCTGGTGAGGTTCAACTGCTTTTACTATCTTGAAGTATTCAGATATTTCTTTGTTGTGTATGCATTTTCCACTTTTTGAGTCTACAAGGATGCTGGACTTAACGCATGTTTTAAGATGTATAGTCAAATGCAATGAAACATGTAAAATAAAATCTTTTATCAATTAGTGCTCCACATTTGAACTAAAATATCTAGGATGTGGGCACAGCAGGAGGGAACATCATATGATCTTTGTCCAAAGTCCTATTATGTTCTAGTTGGATCAGAAAGTCCTGACTCATGAACATTTCCACTCTTTCTCCTTATCTGCATTTGCAATTAATCTTCTACAAAAAATTGAGTATCTAGAAAAGTAAAATATTGCCATGCCTACTCTTATTAACTCCTTTATAACGTCACAACATGGTTTGCACCTGCAAAATCATTTAAATGTTTTTGATAACAAGGAGAGTGAAAATTATAAAGGGTAGGGATTTTTTTTTTTTTGATAACCATTGCATAATTTAGATTGCTATTTCTAGTATGCAGATTGATGCCATCAAAAATTTTTTTTCTTGTGGGGAAGTTATCCATAAACCTCTCCCTTTTTTTGCTTCTCTTTTTAAGTGGCCTTTTGGTTTGAATCTATTATTTGTGTATTAGTTTCGAATATGAATAATGTAATATGTCTAGAGGCATTATGTTCTCGAGCTAGTATTACTTATATATGCTTGAAAAGATGCTAGTTTTATTTTGCCTTTACTGGTATTGAGGGAAATGCAAAGAGGGGTATGAAGGAACAATTCTGCTAAGCATATTGTATTTATGCATTACCTTGTAGCATATGATGAAGACACTGATTGTGTTGGGTTTGCTCGGCTGGGAAGTGAGGATCGGATGATAGTTGCAGGCACAATGAGACAACTCCGGATAGTTGATTTTGGCAAACCTCTGCATTGCCTTGTCATAGTAGGCAAGACTCATCCGGTGGAAGAAGAAATGTTGGAGTTCTACAAGATCGGCAGTGAGAATTCAGAACAGAAAGGCAAAGGGATTGCATGAATGTCTCTTCTAACAGAAATATTTCTTCCTCCTGGTGTAGGTGTGCGGGTTATTGTTTCTTTCTAATGCATGCTTTTACTTGCTTCTGGAAAACAATTTTGCAGCTCCCTGTTCTTCGACATGTTGGGAGACTCAGACCAATACTTGGATCCAACTCATTCAAACTGTATGGTATCTGTTTGGGCTAATTTGTAATATTTTTTTATCTATACTTACTTTTTTAAACGTGTTAGTTTTCTTATCTTGAAGGACTTTGAATATAGAAAAGCAGATCTTTTGAAGAGAAACAATAAAGTTGGCCTTTTGTGTTGTTTTTTTTTTTTTGCCATTTTCATTTTCTAAGATACAAAAGCAGACGATTTTTGAAGAATCAAAGAATTGATTGCAATGGATTCATAGAAGCCAGTTATAGCAGCACAAGAGAAAAAAAATAACATAGGTATTTTTCTTTGTAGATAACAGAAAAGGTATAGATCAAAAACAGAATTATTTAAAGAAATATAGGTTCAATTTCATAACAAACAGACTATAATAAAATATTAACAAGTTATGTAAGGAGTAGAATTGTTTATGATCAGTTTAGTTAAATCGAACTGATTATAAATCAAAATGATTTGAATTTAAATTGATTTGAATTTAAAATAATTTAAAATTGAATTAATTTGATTTAAAATAAATTGAATTTGAAATGATTCAGCATAAAATGATTTAGATAATAGTTGGATGGATTCATTACCGAATAATTTGAGTTTTGACAGTTGAATTATTTATTTCATATTCAAATAATTTGAATTTAACACTTGAATTATTTAGATTTTGATTATAAAATTTGATTGATTTCAAATTAATACTATTAATTTTTAAAACCAAATCAATTTAAGTAGGATTTAGGTTGGATAAATTTGATTGTTGATATTTCTAATTAAATCATACTGGATTATGTTCTAGTTGAAAACAAGGTAAAACAATTTTTTTTTATTTGAGTCAGCTTAATTAGCTCTAATATTAATAATATCACTTAAGCTCTATATATTTTTTAATCATTTTGAATTCTTGCGCAATTATCAATACTTAGCTTAGTGATGAGCATGGAGAAATGATTTTAGATGCCTACGTTCAACAAAATTCAAAATATTACATGTAATTAAAAGTTGTTTTATGTATTTTTATTTAAATATAATTTTTATAAATAATTAGATATTAAAATATAGTTTTTGATACGAGAAAATGTATTGGGCCAAAAAAAATACGAGAGAATGTATCATTTTAAAAAAGTTAATCTAGATAAAATTTAAAAGTTACTTTGAAAGGCATTTAGTTCATAGAATCTAACATTTTGGAAGAGAAAATGATTCTCATATTAACCACTTTTTAAATTCATTTGTTTGTTTTAGTTGTGTCTGATTAGGGAATGAATCATTATCTAATAATATCTATTACTATATTACTTTAATTATATTATTAATTGATATCACTTGAATAACATGTGATAAATATTTATATTTAAATTATTTATTTATTTTAAAATATTAATTTAGTTATTTATTTAACATGTAAATGGTTTATCTAATATTTTGTGAAATTAATAAAAATAAAAAATTATTAAAATTATTTATTTAGCATGTAAATTATGAAAATATATTATAATTATTTTCTTTATATATTTTCATAATATATTATATTTTTTATCTTAAAAACATAATCAATATTGAAAGTAAAAAATTTTTAAAAATAATTATTTTTATAATAGATTACACTTTTTATCTAAAAAATGTAGTCTATATTTTAAAATATATTTATTTTTATAATAAATTATATTTTTATCTAAAAAATGTAGCCTATGTTAAAAGTATAAAATTTTTTAAAAAATAATTATTTTTATAATAGATTACATTTTGTATCTAAAAAAATAATCTTTTTGAATTTTTTAGACAGAAAAAAAACTGTTTTTTTATCTTAAAAAAAAAAAGAATCTTTTCTCCCCTCTCTTTTAGACAAAGACAAAGGGGCTCTACTATTTAAATTGTTTTCG